GAAAAAGTACAAGAGATGAACATTCAGGAAGTAAGGGTACCGATCACTTTATCTTTACCCCTAATTCCAAGTATAGTTGAGAATGTTCCAGTTGTCGAACAATTAGACACCATGGAACACTTAACTAATGATTCATAATCCCATAATGAGATTCTAGCCAATAATGATCATATGGGTAAAGCACCTGAGGAACCAGAATTAAGGAGATCAACTCGTGAGAGGAGATCGTCTATTTCTGAGGAATATTGGCTTTACCATGTGGAATCAGATATTGGAATTCTTAAAGACTCGATTTCATACAAACAAGCCATTAACGATATTAATTCCGATAGTTGGAACAATGCCATGAAGGATGAAATGAAATCTATGGTAAAAATGAAGTTTGGGATGTCGTTCCTTTGCCTCCAAGACGCAAGATGATCGGAAATAAATGGGTTTATAAGACCAAATACGACCTAAATGGTAGTATTGAACGACGTAAAGCTAGACTTGTAGCCAAAGGTTTTAATCAGAAAGAAGGTATTGACTATATAGAGACCTTTTCCCCTGTGTCCAGAAAAGAGTCTTTGAGAATTATTTTGGCACTCGTAGCACAATATGATCTTGAGTTACATCAAATGGATGTTAAAACCGCCTTTCTTAATGGAGACTTGGACGAAGAAGTCTATATACGTCAACCTGAAGGCTTTGTAATTAAAGGTCAGGAAGACATGGTCTGCAAACTTAAGAAATCGATATATGGACTGAAACAAGCTTATAGACAATGGTATCTCAAATTTGATGAAACTATTACGAAATTTGGTTTCAAAGAAAATATTGTTGATCCATATATATACCTCAAGATAGTGGGAGTAAGTTCATATTTTTGATACTGTATGTTGATGATATCTTTTTAGCCAGTAGTGATCTTGGCCTTCTACATGAGACCAATAGCTACATGTCTAAGAACTTTGACATGAAAGATATGGGTGAAGCATCCTATGTGATAGGAATATAATTATTCCGTGATAGATCACTCGGAATTTTAGGGATGCCTCAGAAAACATATATTGATAAGGTTCTAGAAAGGTATGGCATGATGACATGTTCTTCTAGTGTTGTCCCCTTGCACAAAGGAGATAGACTTGATCTTGACCAATGTCCTAAAAATGATTTGGAACGTAAAGAAATGGAAAACTATCCTTATGCCTCACTGGTCGGGAGTTTGATGTATGCACAAGTTTGCACTAGGCCAGACATTAGTCATGCAGTAGGCATGTTGGGAAGATTTCAAAGCAATCCAGGACTCGCTCATTAGAGAGCTGCACAGAACGTATTGAGATATTTGGAGGGAACAAGATATCACATGCTCACATATAAGAAGTCAACACATCTACAGATGGTTGGACTTTCTTATTCAGATTTTGGTGGATGTCCGGACACTAGACATTGCACTCTTGGTTACGTTTATACCTTAGCTGAAGGTGCAATATCATGGAAAAGCCAAAAATCTGAGATGATCTACACATCCACTATGGAAGTTGAATATGTAGCATGTTATGAGGCTACAAATCAAGGTTTTTGGTTGCGAAATTTTGTGTCACAATTTGGGCCTTTGAGTTTTATCTACAAGCCTCTAACTATTTATTGTGATAATGAGTGCAGTCAAAATCGCGCTTTAAAGCGTAAAATCGTACGATTTTACGTTTCTAGGGTAGGAAAACGTTTCAAATCACCAATAAAATCGTTTGTTACTCAAAATCGGTCAAAAGCGTAGTAAAATCGGTAAAATCGGTAGAAACGGTTAAAAACACATTTTTATACCGCTTTTGTACGATTCCAAGCAAATGAGCAAAACAGTCTCCTTTCATCAAAACGACGTCGTTTTTGAATTTTGATTTAAAAAAAAAATTTGGGGCTGCCAAAAGGGAGAAGGGGTTACGCTGAACCCTAATTTCATCTATCTCCAGCGCCGCACCACCCACCCTTCTCCTCATCTCCCTCGGTTGCTTTCGTAAGTCATCACCTCCCTCGGCCGCCGCTCGTCGCCTCACTCGGCCGCCGCCAGTTGCCATCGGCCGCCGCCCGTCGCCCTCGTCAACCGCCTATCTCCCTCGGCCGCCGCCCGTAGCTCGTCGTCGTCCACTGGTCCGTCGCAAGTCCACAGCGCCCCATCGCCCGGCGCCGCCCTAACTCCGTCGTCCATAGCTCGTCGTCTTCACCCGCCGGTTGTCGTTCTTCACAGTCAAAGGTTTTTCTCTTTTCTCGTTATTCAATTTGCAATCTAAAATGGAATCTTACCTATTAAAATTCAGAAATTTGAAGATGAAGTGCCAAAGCTTCAAAAATTTGCTCTGTACAGACTAAAACATGACCCCAGGGATTGGTTTGAAAAGTTTCATAGTGCTCTCATGGACTTGGGGTTTCAGCAAAGTCTCAACGACCCTTCCTTGTTCACCTGTCAGTCTTCAGCTGGCATTTTTGTTCTTCTGCTCTATGTTGACGATATGATCATCACTAGTGATGACCTTGGTGAGATTACTCGGCTTATTGTAGGACTTCACTCTGCGTTTCACCTCAAGGAACTAGGATTGCTTTCCTACTTCCTCGACTTGGAGGTTTAACGATCGTCAAATGATATTTTATTTCTTCAATGCTAGTACATTGATGACCTTTTACTCACCTCCCGCTTTGATGATTGTCATCCCGTTTCCACTCCCATGGAATTGAATGTTAAGTTTGGGTGTGAACTTGGCACACCATTATCTACGGCTAATGCTAGTTCATATAGGCATATTGTGGGGAGCTTGATATACCTTACCAATACTCGCCCCAATATTGCCTTTGCGGTCCAGATTGTTAGCCAATTTATGTCTGCCCCCACTGACCTTCACTTGGGAGCTGTTCACCGTATTCTTCGTTATCTCCATGGGATTCGTGAGGTTGGGTTGTTCTTGTAGAGTACTGGGCTCTTAGAGCTTCATGCCTTCTCTGATTTGGATTATGTTGGTTGTATTGACACCAGTTAGTCCTCTACTGGTTGATGTGTACGGTTGGTTGACTCGTTCATTTTCTGGCGTTGTAAGAAGAAGGACAGGGTATCGAAGTCCTCTACAAAAGCTGAGTATCGTGCTATGCTAAATGTTGCATCCGAATTGGAGTGGCTGCATCGGTTATTGGGCGATCTTCGCGTGTAGTGTCCTATATCGATGTCTTTGTTTGTGGATAATACGAGTGCCATCCAAATTGCTACTAACCCAGTTCTTCATGATTATGTCATATGTTGAGTTTGGGCTTCAATCATGTAATTGGTGGCGTAGGCCTCAAGTAAACCAAAAGTAAGAAGGAAAAGGACTTGGCTCTCTGTAGCCGAGTAGGTTTGGATATCCCACATTGGGGTTTAGAGTCATATATATATGTATGTAAGGTGAACATGAGTAAAAACGATTAATAAGATCAGAAGCTGGAGAACTTGGTTCTCCCGTTGACTAGTCCTGAACTTCAGGGATACCACGTAAAAGTCTGTGTTCTATTTTTGTTATTGCACGTTTCTTATCAGTGAGTAGTTGTGCATTAGAAGACCTTGTGGAATAGGATCCTAGGGCATCCTAGAATTATAGCTTGATTTGCACATCAGATGGTCATTCGAATAGGTTCAGTGTTATAATTGGATAACCATATAGTATCATGTAACAAATTCAAAAAATTCAAAATTCACAAAATCATGAAGTAAATATTTATAATGTAAGGTAACAATGATTTTAACAAACAATGAAAGTAACTGAATAATCATGGATTTATACTAGACAGTAATCTTATAACTTTCCGCAATTGATTTTCTTTGATAAATCATACACTTTAAATATTGTATGAGAATGAGAAAATTTTACAACAAATTTCAAACGTCAATACATCATGAGTTAATTATAAAGTGAAATAATGAACAAATGTTTATAATAAAACATAATATTCTCCATCATTTAAAAAAAATTTCGATTTCTATTTAGTACTCGTGACTTTTTGCTAAGATATAAATCTTATAGCGTTCCTCGTTGTTCTCGTTCATAAATCATACAAAAAGATGGAAAAGAGTAAATTTTAAAGAAAATTTAAACATCACTAGGTACCTATGAATTTATTTTCTAAAATTAAAGGAATATGGAAAACAAAAAAGGGTTTTTATTGAGTAATTACGGTTTTCTACTAAGACATTATTCTATAGCATTGCGTCAATGATTTTAGTAGAAAAACCATAATAAGAAGAAGTTATAGAGAGACACTAGAATACTAAAAATTTGGTAGTACACATCATTCACGGGAAGAAGTTTTCGCTAGAGAAGAGAAATGTGTCGGGGAGGTTCGTTAGGGGTTTCTTAGAATTTGTACTTCATAGGATGTGTTGCTCGTCAAGGGGTTGGGAAGATTGGGGCGTGTAAAAAAGTTGGAGTAGGGTGTATTTTTTTATAGCTGGGGATAGCTTATTTTAGAGATGCTTATCATGACCCTTTGCAATGATTTCAATTAATTGCATCTCAGCTGCGGGATAAAGATCTCGCGTCATATATGTGTCTGCATGAAAGAAAATGACCAATCAAGATTTTAACATGCCCCTTCCCGTCATTTTCCACTTCTCAAGTGCCACCTTTGTAATAAGGCGACACGCGGCATATATCGCACAACTCTGACGCAATCATAGAAAGTACGTCATCTACATTTAGAGAATTTTTTTGGTCCAATTTGGGAAAATAAAACCCATCACATGGGGAATAATATGAAAAATAATATTTATAAGAGTACTTAAATATATAGATGATTTTATCAACAAAATTTTGTGAGATGGAGGATAATAAAGTAATTTGATTTTCATAAAGATAAATGCAAATCAACACAGTCCATCATAAACTCTAACTAATAAGTAATTTTTTTTTAAATTCTTAATAATTCAAATCCATCACCAATTCTTAATTTTTCAAACTCAAGAACTTAATAAACTCCTTCATTTTTTAAATCAAGCCGACAAAGATCTCAGTTTCATTTCATTAGACCTGAGATCTTAGCTTAAGTTTTGTCCACATACATATAAGCATGAAACCACTACAATTACATTTTAATTTATTTGCAGACCGCTAATGAAGAAACCGTGTATAGTTTGGAGTTCAATTACATTTATCGACGAATTTATAGTTCGGAAAACATTGCATGTAAGTAGCCAACTAAACTAGTTCATAACATGAACAAGTTAAATTCAGCCAATTGAAGTTCCAGAGTTTAAACTTGTTCATTTTTTCTTCATCTTGTTATGTCACCGCCCATCTACACAAGTGAGTATTAAACATCACAAAAGTAACTCAGACAAGCTTTGTTGTCTAAGCATTTCTGACTTTAGAACGAAAAAGATGGTACAAGGCTATTATATCACTTTAGTGCTTGCATATTTCTTTGGTAACAAATCTGTCCTCTCCCTCTAATCGACTTGTGATTTTAAGTACAAATATTAAAGGAATCATGGATGGGTAGATTTTATGGAAGGATTTTGAAAGATGATAAGCAAGAGTATTAGTGCATACCAAATGGAGCTCGCGTCAAGATAAGGTTGGAGACTATGTCCACATAATCCAATTTCGAACATGCTGTATGGAGTCTATCAAAATTGAAATGCTAATCCTTCCTCTCTTTCCTAATTGCCAATAAAAATAGGACTTCTAGTGAATCTGGGAGTGAAGTATTATTGAAATTCTACATACACACTAACCTACCTCAAATTTCATTAGAACCAGTAACTGAAATTATGCATGATACCCACAAAAGATTTGTTTGTAAGATAGAAAAAAATAAACAATAACATAATTTCTATTACCTGAAAATTTAACAAAGTTGAAGCCTCTTCCTCAAAGGATATGGGTTCGTGAAAAATGATTTTTACCAGCCATGTTCAAAGATTTTGGATATTTTTACAGTTCTAGCCCTTGTCATTGAAAGATAAATAATCGATGAGGCGCGTGCTCTTCATTTCATTTCTCAAGTACTGGTATTACCGTTAGGATCAAGAAATTACTTTTTTTTTATCCCATTGCACAAACCAATTACTTCCAAGGAACGAGTACTCGGGCCAAACAGCTGAGTTTAGTGGGTTCCTAGTTGTTCATATGACTTTCATTACGTAGTCATCCAACATGCATATGCTTCAGAAGTGTGACGGAAATCTCCATTCATCACAAACCTATAAGCAGTTCAAACCCAAATCTACAATTAAATTAATAATCAAAAGTATTCATATTAACATTGAAATAGTAACCCTAGGTTGTTGAAAATGACTAGAAAAAATCGAGTTAGGTGCATCAAATATGTAGAAGATATGTTTAATGAAAAATACCTTAGCCTTTTGCATGATTAAGAAAAACATGGGAATCTTGAGGCAAGTTTCTTATATGTTATAGTGACCAATTTCTAAGTTTGGAATGTGGGAAATCTTGCTCCAATCTTCACCTTTGTCCTGTTGACACCTTTGCTCAAGGAATGGACAACGAAGGATCGACATGGAAGAGAGTGATGATGGAAGGCCCTCTTCTGGAATGGCCATAAGATCGGGGCAACGATAAATCTTCAAATCTCTAAGAGAAGTAAGTTGTTGAAGGCCTTCCAATGATTTCAAGCTATACAGATCTCGGATCTCAAGAGAGACTAGTGAGGATGGTAACATCATCTCCCTTGTAAGTGATTCCACTTCATCATTTTCATAAAACTTCAACTGCAATAGAGATGTGATTGCCTGTAAATTCCATTGTGATCGACCGGATACAAGTTTGTCACAACTAATTATCTCGAGTGATTCTAACGTGGGTAGCAAATCCCCAATGGGAAAAGATTCCAAATTCGGACAAGCACTGATCTTCAACTCTTTAAGAGCACTCAACTGTTGGATCCCCTGTTCATCCAAAGATTTTAAATTTTGGATGCTCAAAATCCCAAGAGTGGTGAGGGTGCAAGGGAGCAGTGTCTCCTCCGGGAAAGATTCTAGTTCTTTGTTGGAATCAATACTGAAGTACAAAAGAGAGGGGAGTGACTGTAAGTTCCACTGCATGTGCCCAGCTACGAGTTTATCACAGGCACAAATGTTCAGTATTTGCAATTTGGACGGCAACCCACCTTCTGGAAAACACTCAATTTCAGGACATTGGCCCACTGTTAACTCCATAAGGGAAGGAAGGTGTGAGTCCATAGAATCTGGTAGACATGTTAGAGTTGAGCAAGTTAACAAAGCAAGATCATTCAAATTACGGGCGGGTAATCCTCCTTTGGGAAATGATACTAATTTGGGACACTCTGAAATTCTCACAGAAGTCAAAGAATCCAAATCCTCGGGAATTTCCTCCTCATTACATAAGGATTCTAGACTTTCACAATTCTTTATAGAAAGACTTTTCAATTTTGGGAACAACTCCAGCGGGAAGCATTTAAGTGACGGACATTTTTCAATGTCAATTTCTTCTAAAGTATTCGAAAGACAGTTAATTGGCTCCATCTCATTGATTCCTGTGTACTGGGAGCCATACCCAGTGATGCGAACTGAATGCATCCCATCTGTCGACGTCTCTAGCATCAACGAACGTGACATGTCCCTCAATTCCATTTTAAAGACAACAGATTTGCTAGGAAGTGAAGGTATCCTGAGTAGCTGACAATCTCTGATCCTAAGTGTCTCTAGCGAGGGAAGATGGCTCGACACTGTTTGCCTCAGTTTTGGGCAATTAGTCAAGTAAAGCTGTTCTAGGAGAGGAAAAGTATCACCAACATTTTCTGCCACAAAAGGAGTCAATTCTTCCCATTCCGGCATGTCCTCAAACTCCAAAGTTTTAAGGGATCTAAATGGATTCTCTGTAGATGTGGTGCTCACATAAAGCTCCTCACCAATAGTTCGGAGGCTGTCAAATGCTTTGATAGATAGCTTTTCTAAAGACACCAACTGACCAAGTGAGGGTAGGCAATAACAGTTCTTACATCCAGCAAGTTCCATGGTGACTATATGTGTGAATGCAGAATCCCCAACCCATACTGGAAATGTTGTTCCTCTATAACCATCAATATTCAAGCTACTCAACTGGACATATGGTTGCAACTTCTCCATTAGCATTACTTCATGCGATGAGTCATCAGCGTCCCCATCCCATCTTAACTCCAACCTTTTAAGGTCCTTCTTACTCTTCAAAGGAGATCCAAATGTGTCTGCCGAATCTACAACGTTTTGAAGATTCCAAATACGAAGTGTTTCTCGGAGGTGATGGAGCTCCTCCAAGTCCTTAATGCTAGAGCCACTGCGCTTTCCCACAAAAAAATCAGTTAAACTTTGAAGTTTTGTCAGTTTTCCAATTTGCAATGGCATCTCTTGTAGTTTTGTCTCTGTAAGGTCAAGATGATACAAGTTGGTCAACAACACCACGGAGTCTGGCAACCTTCCAATTGCTGTTTGACAGAGATCTAAATGTTGCAATTGCTTCAACTTACCGATTGAGTCAGGCAATACTTCAAGTTCTTTGCAAGATTGCATAATCAAAATCTGCAGATTATAAAGGGTGCAAATCATTGCAGGCAACTCCTTTATACAAGTCAGGGAGAGATTTAGATAACGTAAGTGCTTCAAGTTACCAATTGAATTAGGCAACTCAACTACTTTGTATCCGTAAAAAGATAGTACGCGTAAGTTGCTTAGTGTACTCAAGAGACCATTAATTACATCATTGTCAATGGATTTATAATCAACATTCCACCATATTGCCTTTGATGAAAAGAAGGTGCGTAAAACTCGAGCTCTGTAGATGTCCTCAATTTTTCTAGAAGCATCTTTAGTTGTTCTTGCGTACCTTAAGTGACGAGTCCTTGTAGTGATCTTTGATAAATCATTGCCATCAAGTTGGAAGCAAAATTCGCCAGATACATATTCAGATAAATCATGAATTAGGCCATGCATAGTAAAACAAGTAGCCATCCCACTTGATTGTTGAAAGAATGACCTTGATACAAGTTGATCGAAGTACTCGGAAGCTATTTCCTCAAACTCTTTCTCGACCTCGGGTGCACTTATGAAACCTTCAGACATCCATAAGAGAACTAGTTCTTCCTTTTGAAATCTATAATCCTTCGGGAAAATTGCACAATAAGCAAAGCATTGTTTCAAGTATGATGGAAGATATTGATAGCTCAATATAAGAGCTGGAAGAATCTCATCATGTAGATCCCATAGGTTACTCTTCAATATCTTCTCCCATTTCTCTACATCTTGTTCGGTGTGTAGGAGAGCTCCTAAGGTTCTTGCAGCCAAAGGTAGACCCTGGCATTTCTCAACTAATTGTCTGCCGACAGTTTCCAACTCTGGACGTGCAATTAAATTTCCATCCAGAGATGCACAGCTTGAGAATATCATCCAACAATCATCACTTGTTAATGGGTTAAGATGATATGTGTCAGTGGTTGACATGACTGACGCTACATTTAAATGTCGTGTCGTAGCAATAATCTTACTTCCCTTTGCACCATACTTGAGAGGTGTTTGTAGCAAATCCCATTCACGATCACTCTCATTCCAAACATCATCTAGAATGAGCAAGAACTTCTTTTGTGTCAATCGACCTCTTAACTCAATTTGTAGCTGATGTAAAGTACGATTATCAGAAGCCTTTCCGCTAAGCTCTTCAAGTATGTCTTTTGTTATTTTGTTGACATCAAATTCTTCCGAGACACAAATCCAAGCACTTACTTGGAAATGCTCTTGAACCTTACTATCATTGTACATCAACTTTGCAAGCGTGGTTTTACCCACACCACCTGTTCCAACAATTGTAATGACGCCCAAATCATCACTACTTCGATCATTAGAGAGAAGTAAATTCATAATAGTTTCCTTATCAGCCTCCCTCCCATAAATACAAGATTCAAGGGCAAGAGAAGTGGTAGGAGGTTTTGTAGTCAATACTTTGTTCCCGGTATCCACATCCAACCCATGCGTGTTCTTTAACTTTATCAGGCCATCAAGCCTCTCAAGAAGCTTCTTCAGCTTTCCATTAATTCCATCCTTGAAAGGATTACGATAGGAGAAAAAGCTCAACATCTTCCCTGTGGCAGTTTGTGATGCAGCTTCAGCCTCAGCTCGAATGGCTTCATAACCAAGCTCATCAATAAAGTCATCAGCATCATAGGCAGCATCTTTAAGCTCAGCAACCCAGCTTCTAATGGCATCGTCTATGAGCTGTTTCTCATCTGCAACTTCAATAAGTTGGTTAATAGCTAACATTGCAACATTCAACCTCTTCAGCAGTCCTGGATCAAGCTTGCGACCCTTGATCAGGGAAGCAAAGTCACTTGAAGTCATTGCAGTAAACATCACTGCAAAGAAATAAGAAAGAACCCATCTTCATCCAATAATCCTGGTAAATAGTATATTTCATTACCTTTTTAACCCAATTTTCGTATTGCATATGCATGTAATACAAACTTGACAATGAATAAAAATTCTTAAGAAACACCCATAGAATTAAGTATATATATAATAATCACATATGACTTCATGTAGTGTTGATGAACATAATTTTACGTCTGACACCTAAAAGCAATGCTCTTAAAACAAAACTATTGAAAGTCTTTCCACCTCTCCAAAACATCCAAACGTAACAAAAAAGGATATTCCTTATCAAAAGAAAATACAGAAGGTGAAATCAAAATTCACGAGGAATCCAAAGTTAGTGGGGGAAAAGTGACATGAGAAAAAGAAGGCTAAATTATCTCCTGATGTTCATAAAAATTAAAAGAAATTACCTCAAGGAAATCAACCTGAGCCCAATGCATTCACCAACAATCTTAGAGACGAAGACACGACGAATGCCTCAAATACCCATGGCTAACATATTCAAAGCTTCAATTCCCACCTCCATCCTTGGCCGCTGTGACATGACCCATCGCCTTCCTCAGCATTTTCGGTTCAGTCTATGTGAGAGGGAGGTGATCCGATAGACAACATAGTCCTTTTATTCTTGAGCATTGATCATGAATCGGATTGGCCTGCGCTTCTTTCAATAGAGGCGTTACATTGCATTCCTCCAAATCGAGGAATTTCTGCGTTTTTTGTTTGGTGAATGAATGAAAACCAAATCGAGCAATTTCTGTGTTTTTTGTTTGATGAATGAATGAAAACCAAATTGAGAAATTGTGTCTTTGTCCAAAAATATATTTGGCTTTTCCAAATTTTTTAAAGAAAATTCGACAAAGTAGAGAATCAGAGAGCATGTGCATATTGAAAGGAAAACGATGAACACAAGCCAGTAGTGTGTAATTATTATGTCCCAATGGCCTAAAATCCATATATTTGGGTTAATTAAGATACAAAGAAAGTCACAGTTTACATATCCAAAGAAATATGTCATCCTAAATCTAAAAATATAATAAAGCGATCTGAGAAAGGAACCCTATCCACGTCACCTTTGGAACCTCCCCTATTTTTTGAACATTTTTTTGTTAAGTTTTTTGTTGTTGTGAAGAATTTAGATACTAATCAAATTCTATTGAAAGAATAAAAAAATAAAAAACGATTTGGAAAATAAAAGTGCCCCACATTTATCTACACGTGTTTGGGGGTGTGTGGAATTCTCAACAAAGGTTTTCATGATAATGTTTTTTAGATGGTCCTTAAGCCCCCTTTTTTACCATTATGTTTAATATATTCTTTTATAAGAAATTTACGATATTAATAATAAATTGGTTGTAACCATGGAAAAGCACTGCTGCAATTTAGAGAAGTTGTTGAATTCCGGTCTCTCTAGTTTTAAACTCGAAATATCGCTTGTGTTATATATCCCAAATACTGAAAAACAACACATAAAGCTATACCAACGAGCTTCTTGTATAGAACAAAGAGAAACTTGAGTCTATCATCCTTTATGATTGTGCCAAGAGCCTGCACTTAATACCTGGCTTGTCTTTAACTGCAGTCAAGGTACAACTTTTCCAATATGATACCAACCAAATTTTGCTAATGGTTGGAGTATCCACCATGGTGTGATGTGGGGGGTCATTAGTATTACCCCTAATGCAATAAGGTGTGGAGTACCCCTTGGTGTGATGAGGGGAGGGGTTGATCATCAGTAAATCCCCCTAGTATGCGATGAGGGGAGGGTGGTGATCATCACCATACCTCCATAGTCCAACGAGCTGGGTAGAAATGGAAAAGAAGAGAGAGGTCACCATGCCCCCACTAGTGCACCGATGATGTGGTCGTAGTTGACAAAGTGTTGAGACCCTTGGTGTGAGAAGGAGGGGAGTGGGTCATCAAAGTACCCCTCCTGATGTGGCGAGAGGGGGTCATCTATATATCCCAATGTGCCATGAGGCTCCCTATGTTGTGATGAGATGGGGGAAATTTTTCTACGTATGGAGGAGAGATGGAGATAATGTGTAACATGGTGATGAGAGCAAAATTTTGACTAAGTGTTGAGAACACTCATGTGATGGGTGGGTGTCATTAACATACCCCCTGGAGGAAGGGAACGAGCGAAGCCATAGCTATTGCTTTGAAGCCAACCCTGCACATTGTGTATTCTGGGGTAACAAGTGATTGATCCAATGCATGCACCTAAAAGAAAACGTAAAGCTTGAGGATTGAGTAGCCGATCCAGGGAAATCCATAGGCAGTAACAATTATTCTCTATTGATTGAATCGAATCAAGAGGGTTTTTTAATTCACGAGGAAGAAGAATATGATAGCCGAAGTACTTGTGCTGCAGTGGAGGATATGTGTAGATGATAGCCAAAGAAGATGATTTTATTACATGAATTACAAAAACACGCAGACAGCTTGGCGAGATGTTGGTATAACCGATTGATAACCAATACCGGCTAGCCGGTTATAAACCGGTGCCGGTTATAAACCGGTACCTGTAGTCAATGTTTGTTTCTCCACTTCTAGTATACCACAAACTAGATGGTCGGTAACCAGTTTAACTAGAAACCGACCAATTACCAACCCTACTACCAACTAAGCAGCCTTGCAATAGTCACCCAAATAACTAATCTTGCAATCATCAGAGTAGTTGAGATGAACAATCACTCCATATCAGCTGAGCAATTTCTCAATGCAGTTACTTCTTGTGACTAAATAGGATGCAAAGATAATTGCTTGATTAGAAATCAATGTACAATCAATTATGTTCAAATTAAGGACTAAGAGTTCATAACCGAGCAACGCGTGAGTATTGCAATCAAGGAATTAAATAGTGACATAGTGTAAGATCTCAATCAAGTATATAAATTTTTAGCAATGAGTCGCTTTCATGATCTTCAGAAACTTATCGATAAATCAATGATATCAAACCGTAGAGAAATTTGCTATATTGATTATGCAACACATTGAAATTTTCAGTATATTTAGCACAAATATAGATTTATGTAACTTATGTAAAAAATAAACATAATACTCGGACAATTAAGACAAGTCCAATGTACTTTTTATTAAGATACAATTAAACACTTGCTTCTTGTCAAATGTACATGTGAAGAAGAGAAAATGGAATCACATCAAATCAAATAACGTAGAAGATTATTCTGTGGACTAAATCAGAAGAACCTTGTTTCCCAATATCCCATTTACTTGGGATACTAAATATTTCCAAGTGGAGAGAAGAAAATGTAGAGAAAGGATAAATTGTGTATCTAATACAAGTTCTTTGAATTATTATTAGTATAAATTATAAAAATTTCAATCTTCAATAAAGTTATCTAAAAGTAGGAAAATAAAATTCAGTAAAGCAAAAGAGTCAATATCCCACCAAAATTTCCATCTATATTATTTTCCCTCCATCTGTTTGGTTCGACAGAAGTTTAAGCAGCGAAATTCGGAGAATGTCAAAAGATTGCTTGTCCTTTGTTCAATCCCCACCAAACCAACCAAAAAAAAAAAAAAGGAAACCAGAATTGAAACAAATAAACAAAAATAAGTGAAAAAAATAAAGAGTGTGTGTGAATGGGAACAAAAATGGAGAAAAGGAGTGAAAGAAAATGATAATCATTAATGTCAATCCTCTCCTTTTTATTGTCACATTAAATTCAAATAAAAAATCTCTTCTCCTTTTTCTTCTGCTTCTTTTGTTAGGTTTTCATTGAAGATCTAGAAATACTTCAATCATAAAACAATTTGTTCTTTTTCTTATATGTCAAAAGAACATCAACAATTAGGTGAAGGAGAATGAAAAGAAAAAGAGGGAATTGAATGGAGTGAAAGTAAACAAAAGAAAACTTGAAGAAAAAACAAGCAAAACAATAACACCTATTGTAACCTCTTGTTATTGTTTTGTTGAAATTTGTTTAGGTGTTGGTCATCCTCCTATTTTCTCTATTGATGTCAATTTTGGTTAAAAAAACATGAAGCAGGCGTTGAAGAAGTATCAATTGATAAAAGACTAAAAGGTGAGGATAAAGAGGAAAATGGTGGTGTTTCCTATAAGAAGTGAAAAATAGTTTAAAGAATTGGAGGAAATTAAACTTGGAAGAGAAGAAGAAAATATTTTGAGGGGATTGGTGCTAGAAATGAGCAAAGAGTACAAAGGCATTGTGAAGGCCTGGGAAGCAACGGTAAGAAAGTCACAAGGATTCACGAAAAAACGATCACATACCATATTTGGGACAATGATGTCAGCGACAGTAGCTCATGCAGACGATGAAGATCCTTCATCGACGACGACGACAACAACAACAACAACACAACAACAACAACAGAAAGAGGTATTGTTACCCAACGGGGACTTCTACACAGGTGAGTGGGTCGAAGGGCTCCCTCACGGCTGTGGGAAATATCTTTGGACAGACGGGTGCATGTATTGTGGAGAATGGCAAAAGGGCAAGACAACAGGGAAAGGTCGGTTCACTTGGCCGTCCGGTGCTAGTTACGAGGGCGATTTCAAGGTAGGGTACATGGATGGTAGAGGGACTTACACAGGTTCATCTGGTGATACTTACAAAGGGTGTTGGGTCATGAATTTGAAACATGGACAAGGGATACAAAATTACGCTGCTACCGGGGATTGTTATGATGGTGAGTGGAAGAAGGGTTTGCAGGATGGTCATGGTAAGTACCAGTGGAAAAGCGGGACCAACTATGTGGGAGAGTGGAGTGGAGGGATTATGAATGGGAATGGTGTCATGAATTTTGAGGATGGTAATAGATACGATGGTAATTGGGAAGATGGATTTCCTAAAGGGAACGGGACGTATAGGTGGGTGGATGGGGGTTACTATGTTGGTGTTTGGAGCAAAGGTGAGGCCAAGGAAAGGAGTGGTACTTATTATACTGCTGGTTCGCAGCAGGAGGAGGCTGCTGAGAGTTCAGAATGGGATCAACAAGAGCTCTTCTTAGGCGAATCTCTATCGGGTTGCAAGATCTCTGTAACTGAGGTTCCCTCCATTTATCCATCACAGAAGGCGTGTTACGTACCTGGTTCCGACGCTGGGAGCTTCAAACAGATGAAAGCACATAGCTACGATGGGAACTCATCGGCGGATGGGAGGTTGAGCAATTACAGTATGAGTTCGTGGGAAGGGAGTGATTCTGGGGTTGGTGGGGTTGATGGGGAAGGGGAGGAGTCTTATTATGGGTATACTAATATGAACGAGAATTTGAACAAGCTGAGGTTACAACCGGCAAAAAAGCAAGGGGAGACCATTTCTAAAGGGCATAAGAACTATGAGCTGATGCTCAATCTCCAGCTGGGAATAAGGTACGTACGTACATACGTACGTACTCACTCCTGTTTAAATTTGGAGGTTGCTTGTGTTCATTTTGTACATGGTTCACTTGCTAGCTAGTGTGGTACTGATTCCTTTTTGTAACATGACAGGCATTCAGTAGGACGACCTGGTCCTCCGCTGACGTCTCTTGATCTCAAGTCGTCAGCTTTTGATCCGAGAGAAAAGGTGTGGACTAAATTTCCCCCTGAAGGATCCAAGTACACGGTGCCTCACCAGTCTTGTGAGTTTAGATGGAAGGACTATTGCCCTTTAGTTTTCAGGTCAGTAGAGACAAATAGCTTGTTCCATCCATCCGCGAATGTTAATGTAGATAGATTACAACGATGCCTTCCTTATATATATTGTCAGGACACTGAGGAAACTGTTCAACGTTGATCCTGCGGACTACATGATATCGATATGTGGGGATGACGCACTTAGAGAACTTTCATCTCCTGGGAAAAGTGGAAGTTTCTTTTACTTGACGAATGATGATCGGTACATGATAAAGACCATGAAGAAGGCCGAAGTCAAAGTATATATGCACTTTCCTCTTATTTTGTATTCAATAATAATATTGCATGTCTACGTCCTGACCACCTTGTCGATGTAATCATATATATAGGTACTAATAAGAATGTTGCCAGCTTACTATAACCATGTGCGGCAGTTCGAGAACACTCTTGTCACCAAATATTTTGGTCTTCATTGTGTGAAATTAACAGGGCCTAATCAGAAGAAGGTAACTAATTAATGTACATATACAACATATGATAATTAAGAGAATGTAGTTCCGTTCCAGCTCGGCAACTCCTACTAATATAATTAAGCTGTATAAGGAATGCATGGTCTGAATCAATTGTGTGTGTCAGGTGCGGTTTATTATCATGGGAAATCTGTTCAATACAGAGTATGCTATTCATAGGAGGTTTGACTTGAAAGGTTCTTCTCATGGTCGTATCACATGCAAACCCGAATCAGAAATCGACGCCTCAACAACACTCAAGGACCTGGACCTCAACTACCTGTTCAGACTGCAGAGAGTATGGTACCAAGAGTTTTGCAGGCAAGTGGACAGAGACTGTGAGCTGCTGGAGCAAGAGAGGGTGATGGACTACAGTCTTCTGGTTGGAATCCACTTTCGGGAGTCGTTTCACAGGCCCGATATCCCCACCCCACCCAGGACCTCCGGTGCTCGCACACCCACTGGCCTCCGTACTCCTACTCGTTAGTTCTTCTTCTTCTTCTTCTTCTTCTTCTTCTTCTTCTGCTTTTTCGCTCCTCATTCTTGCTATAAATTTAGCACAAACATTAATTAATGTCACATGTTTTTGTGCACAGGAAACGGAGATAATGCTGAGAGTGATCATGCGGGGGGAGGAGGAGGAGCTCCAAGGCTTTCTAAAGCTGAGATTGATAAGCTCGTTCTCGATCCCTCTCGGTAAATTAAAGCTATCACACACTTCCATTCATTACCTCTATATGCTTGTTTCAGTTTTATGTTCATACTGTTCTATTATTGCTGGGATAATATGCTTCACTTTTAGCGTTGTGGAGGACCTTCCGATTATGAAGAGAGATATTATAGTCATTTGTTTATTTTTTTTATGGGTTATTTGCATGCTACATTTGGAAAATAGATGAATTCTTGAAATAATGAAACTTAGTGATTATTGCAAAATGTAGCTAATATTTGCTTTCTCCAAATTTGATTTACTATGAGTCAAATAAATTTGGATAATTTTACTTTTTAAGCATATTCATACCTTAACTTTTAGTTTTGGTCTAAAATGGCTCCATAAAATAAAAAAAAATATAGAAAATGGGTATCTGATCATAATGCAACTTGTCTTATATTTTGTTATATATGGACAAAATAGAAAGGTGGAAACACTACATTAAAAGGTGTATTGTTGGGTTAAAGGTAGGTAATGATATGATTGATACTATTTTTTTGTGTATCCAATCATCTAGATCTAATTAGACACATTTGCGTCTAACCCAAATAAGATACAATTTAGACCCAACCCAAATCCAAAACCGTTATAACTGCACAAGTGCAAAAAAGACCATTGGGTCCGACCCATTAGTCATAACACCTAAGTAAAATTATAGTAAAAGTAACCGAATTCGGAGACCTATTGTTGGGAGCATTTCGAGAGGATGGAATAATATTGGACGTGAAAGTTATTTTGACTAGATTTTGATAATTATCAATGGTCGGAATATTGACCTCCAAACAATTTATTTGGCTCAACATTCTTTTTGATTATTAGGTGAACCAACATCATCTTACTATTGTCCTCGTCACTCACTCTTAACATATGATATATGGATGCAGGTGGGCGTCAATCAAATTAGGAATGAACATGCCAGCAAGGGTTGAAAAAACTGTACGAAGGGATGGTGAGACTCAGCTGGTGGGAGAGCCAACTGGGGAGCTCTATCAGGTCATCTTGACGTTTGGCATAATAGACATACTACAAGACTATGACATCAGCAAAAAGCTGGAGCATGCATACAAATCAATGCAGTACGATCCAACGTCAATCTCAGCAGTGGATCCAAAACAATACTCCAGGCGATTTCGAGACTTCATCTTTAAAGTATTTGTAGAAGAAAGCTGATCTTCAAAAGGTAACAAGCAACGTGTATACATATTAATGAGGTAACAACGTACATAGCCATTAGAATGAAGCTATGATTCAATTTGTAAATTTAAGAGAAGCTAACAAAGGGTGGACGAGGAGAGGACAAGAAGTTTATTGAGCTGATTCTTTTTAGAATGTCAAAATTTATATTTTGCTCCATTATTTGTTTTTTCTCTTTTAATTATCTGTTGTGCTCGAGATTGGGTAGAGGGGTTCTTAAGTTGCATTTTTTCCCGGGATCTAATAATGATGTATAGAAGGAGAACTGACTATTTTTCAGGGTACCTTTTCCAATATTTTCTTCACAAACTGTTCTTTTTATTGAGTGTCTAATATATTGTGTAATTTCATGTTTTTGTTGCACTTCTAATGTGAAAAATTTTCTACCACCATTAGAATGTAGAAGCTACGGAAGAGTTTATTTTCTAGAATTTACATCTTCGAATAAATGAGTTTTTTTTACACTTCTTCATTCGTAATGGAAAGAGTGAAATGTAGACAATTAGTTAGTTGTAGAATAGTGGAATGGGTTACTACAAGAATAGAAGAAATAATAGGTCAAGTTGATTGCATTGTTTCATACCACAACTCCAATGCCCACAACTAAATAGGGGCGGGGTGGGAACATATGGATCTATTCCCCATGCATCGACATAATCTATGACATTAAATTGATTAAAATAAAAATTCATTCATAAAAACCACAATTCCAATGCCCACAACTAAATAGGGGGCGGGGTGGGGGTGGGAACAGATGGATCAATTCTCCATGCATCGACAATAGAATCTATGACATTAAATTGATTAAAATAAAAACTAATTCATAAAACAGAGAATTTCCTTATTTGATCATGTACTCAATTTCTCAGATTCATCTTGATAAACATCACAGCTGTAAAAAATTCCTTTCATAGTTGGCTTGTAGTTGCAACGGGTAAATTGAACACCAACTTCGAGGGCGACAACAGCCGACATGAAAACTAGAACAAGAGTCTGATATGATCCAAATCCGAAGAGCACCCTCGAGCTCGGATTATATGACCAAAGTACGCAACTTCAACGATCTTTTCTTGATTTTCTGGACTTTCTTGATTTTCTTGATGTCGCCTTTCTTGAACTCGAAAATAAAAGATAGGATGGAATCAATCGGACAATCCCAACTCGTGATGAAGGGCAATTGGTATATTAAACCAATCGGACAACACCAACTTGTGGAAAGGGGCAATTAATATAGTCGATGCTCGCCACAACTAGATGCATTCTCTAGTTGATAGGAGACACGTGAATCATCTGGAGCACTCTCAACAGAAGCTTGCACAAAGAACCAGTTCGTTTGAACTTGAAACTTGAAAGTTGATTGATAATAGAATGAATTACAATGAGGGACTCATCCTTCTTATATAAGCAACGAAAATCCAATCCTAAACTAAGAAAGAAAGCAAACAAATGACCAAATCCTACAATTAAAGGAAAACAAAACCTTAAAGGAAAAGTAAAAGGAAAACACAATCCTTAAAAGAGAAGGAAAAGACCAAGTCAAAAACTCCTTGAAATCTAGCCTTCATATCCACCTTCCTTGAAGCCCAAGTTGCCTCCATGCTAGTCCACGAATTGTAGAAGTATAATGGGCTTCCCATGATGTTGGTCCATGTCCAATTGAGCATAATGTCGATCCAAATAAGCAGCAAATTCCTCTCTTAATCTCTTGGCTTGTAGACGAGTAATTAGAGCTTCGTGTGATGAATTTGACTTGGATTTGATGACCTCATCAGTCCCTCCCTCTTGAAAAGGATTTGACCTCAAATCCGAGTTTTCTCCCAAATATGGGGCAGGGTCAGAAACGTTGAATGTTGCACTTATCCCATATTCTCCCGGCAAATCGATATTGTAAGCATTGTTTCCACCCTTCGAAATCACTTGGAAGGGACCTTCACTTCAAGGTAGCAACTTGGATCTCCTTTGATAAGGGAACTTTTCCTTTCTCATGTGCACCCACACCCAATCTCCAGCTTCAAACGATCGAGGCTTCCTATTTCGATTGACGTTCTTCATGATTTGCTCCGTCCTTCTCTCGATGTTCAATCTTGCTTTCTCATGGAGATTCTTCACAAATTCGGCCTTCTTTGCTCCATCCAGGTTGACTTGTTCCTTCAATGGCAGAGGGGTCAAATCCAGTGGTGTAAGGGGATTGAACCCATACACGAGCTCGAAAGGCGAATGCTTTGTGGTTGAATGCACAGCTCGATTGTGGGAAAACTTGACATGTGGTAGACAATCTTCCCAAGTTTTGATGTTTCTCTTGATCACGACTCGTAGCATTTGGGATAGAGTACGATTGACCACTTCAGTTTGTCCATCCGTTTGAGGATGACAAGTTGTCGAAAACAGAAGCTTTCTGCCGAGTTTACTCCACAACGTCTTCCAAAAATAGCTCAGAAACTTTGCATCTCGATCAGACACAATGGTACTCGGCATTCCATGCAATCTCACGATCTCCTTGAAGAACAAATCAGCCACATTGTTTGCATCATCCGTCTTATGGAATGGAATGAAATGTGCCATCTTCGAGAAACGATCCACGACCACAAAAATTGAATCCCTGCCTCTTCTTATCCTCGGCAATCCTAGCACGAAATCCATTGAAATGTCGACCCATGGTGCATAAGGAATAGGTAGTGGTGTGTACAACCCAGATGGTTGCATCTTCGATTTAGCATGCTGGCACTCCACACATCTTGCACATAAATTCTCTACATCTCCTTTCCTGTGAGGCCAATAGAAATGCTCTTGTAAACAACTTAGCATCTTGGCTACACCAAAGTTGTAACATCCCATTTCGGCTAAAACCCATATTTCGATCGTTAGAAAGTTCGCGATTTAAAATCGAGCATTTCGACACTATTTCGGCGAAAATCGAATTATCGATCGATCGGATAAGTATACGTATTAATTATATATATTATATAATATTATTTTTATATATATATATATATATATATATATATATATATATATATATATATATATATATATATAAATGCAGTCGGCATATAATTCCCATCCATTTCTTCATCTTCTTTCTTTTCGGACGAGAGTAACGAGAAGCAGAGGCGCACAGGGCATCGCGGGGTAAAATTTCTGTAGCTCGATTCTTGAGCTACACTGATCCAAAAATCCCGTAAGTAATGCCTAATTCATCTATTCATCGTGATTTATTGATTTAGAGTTTTAAAACGGGATTTTGGTTCAGGAATTTCTTGAATTCCCGATAAGCCAAATTAGGGTTTCGGAGTATCCGGAAGCCGGATTGAGCCCAAATTTCATATACGAGCTTCCTGCAGCGAGGTAATCAATCCTCTAGTTCTAATCCCTGAATTTCGGCTATTATTTAGGCCGGGGTCCAAATCGCTGAATTTAGCTCCGGCCAGGGTTTGATGTGTTTTTATCGAGAATTTGACCCGGAGCCTAGAACTAATATTGACGGGGATACTGCAGGGGATATTAGGACGGTCTCGGATTTTAATTCGGGGTTCGTTCGTGAAATTGACGTTTTAGTACGGGAGGCTAGAACCGGTGTTTGAACGACCAGAACTGGTGAGGGATTAGCGCGGCATACCGGGTTTGTCGTATCACGATAATTATATTAATGCTTAGAATTGACCTAGGTGAACTAGAATGGCATGATTAGGGGGTGTATGGACTTTTGTGCTATATGATAAACCCTGGACTGTTGTATGATATTATTGACTTGCCCTAATCGATATGAACCTTGTTTATGTGGATGATTGCATACATGTTGCCATTTGTGGCTTAACTATTGATATGACTTCATGGTTGTTCGATAAGGGGTTTTGACATGGTGTGATATTATGGTTGTATTTGGATCCATAAGTGGGGGAATAAACTTCCCAGGGTGATATTATGATGTTTTAAGGAGGATGACTTGCACGAGGGTTTATCCCGAGGAAGTGCAATTATACGACTCCTGATTTACCTATGTTGAGCCAATTATGGCCAGGTCAAGTACATGTGCAAGTAACGAATTACGAGTAAGCAAGATAAGATATGAATCATGTACAGGGATACCAAATGTGAATGTTGTGGTCTCATGGTCAATTACGTAGTAATTAGGGCTCCCTATGCTATTACTCTATTATGATATGTATGATAGTCACACCTCTCATGTGGTGGTGACTGAAGAATTCTTATGAGATATGACCACACCCAGAGCGGTGTCGGGGTATGACTACACCCATAGTGGTGTGGGGTATGTATGACCACATCCGACGGGATGTTGGGGTATGTATGACTACATCCGACGGGATGTGGGGTATGTTTCCCGGGAGAGTTATTAGCATGGGAGTAGCCAGGCGCCTATGATTAAAACATGATAAGATGCATATGCATAAGTCAAGGTGGTTGAGTCTTTTGCCTATTGGGATATGAGGACGGCTGAGGTCCGATCCTAGTATTTTGGCTTATTTGTTAGATGTATGATAGGGGTATGCTATGTTATGAACTCACGATGCTATGATTATCTCACTCAGCTATGAGCTGACCCTCTTTTATTCTTCTTCTCTGCTTATGCTATGTGTAAGCAGATCATCATCAGCAGCAGTAGATAGGTGTATAGGTGGGAGCTGAGCAAGAGTTGAAGGCAAGATGAGGTATGGTCTTCAACTATTCTGTGCTTGGACTACTACTCGGGATTTTGGCCAGTGATCCACACCTTTTTGTAAAAATGTTTTGAGAACGTTTTTCATGTGCATACTAGCTTCTGATCTAGTGTGAGATATCCACAGGTGTGGAAAATTAATGATATGTGTATATGTTGTGTAACTGTGTAAGTTGTGACGATTATGGCTTGTATCAGTATAGTATGCAGTTGTGTAGTAAATGAAACTGTGACTATGGCTATGAAAGCCAATGCTTATGGTTGTGAGTATATATGTTTGTGGTGAATTATTTTGCAGGAT